TTTATAGTTGTCCTTTCTGTATTTGTATTATCTTTTTTCTTGAACCTACCAATCCTTTCATGTGGGCTATAATTATGTATTATAGATGTGATATATTTGCACTATACCATACTACATTTCTTTCTTTTCCTTATAAAAGATTCCTATGGACATTGTTTACCTTTGTATTCTAATGTATAATTCTTAACCCCTTAAGGACTGGACTGTTTTTGCGATGTTGTACATTTGCAACCAGGAATATTTTTACACTTTTCTGGTGTTTGTGTTTAGCTATTATTTTCCGCTCTCTCATTTACTGTTCCCATACAAATTATATATTGTTTTTTTCAGGACAAAAGGGGCTTTCTTTACATACCATTATTTATATAATCTCATTTATTTTAATTTAAAAAAAATAAAAAAATATGATGAAAAATTGAAAAAAATACATGTTTTTTGACTTTTACTTGAAAAATCTTTTACTCATCTACAAAAGCGAATGAAAAAAACAGCTAAATAGATTCAAAATTTTGTCCTGAGTTTAAAAATACCCAGTGTTTACATGCTTTTTTGCTTTTTTTTGCAAGTTATAGGGCTATAGGTACAAGTAGGATATGGCGGTTTCAAAACAAAATTTTTTAAATGTATCAATAGTGACATTGTAACACTATTATCTGTCATAAATCTCTGGAAAACACTCCACATGTATATATTTTTTTTAAAGTAGACAACCCAGGGTATTCATCTAAGGATATTTTGACACTTTCTATGCAGCCATTTTACCACAAGTCTTTGCCAAACTTTGCATAGATAGTTGTTTTTTTTGTTTTTTTTCACATACATTGCAATTCAGGTATAAACTTACAGATCCTGTTATGTCTTGCTGCCAAACAACACGCCAATATGTGTTCAGCAACATCTCCTGAGTACAGTGATACCACCCATGCATAGGCTTGTCGGATTGTTTGGGGGCTAAAAGGCCACATTTGGCAGGTGCGCATATCCATTTTTCAACTTGGAATTTTGACATGTAGTCAACCTGCGCACATGTCCTATTTGGGACATTTGTAAGGCCGGCCAATGTATTTTACCCCCACCAAACCATATATTTTTGGAAAGTAGACACCCTAGGGTATTTCAAATGGTGGTTTTTTAACACTTTCCATGCACTAATTCTACCACCAGACATTGTCAAACATTTAGGTAGTCATTTTTGTGTGTTTTTTTTCACACACATTGTACTTTAGGCATGAATTAACAAATCGTGTTATGTGTCACTGCCAAACAACACGCCAATATGTGTTCAGCAACATCTCCTGAGTACAGTGATACCACCCATGCATAGGCTTGTCGGATTGTTTGGGGGCTAAAAGGCCACATTTGGCAGGTGCGCATATCCATTTTTCAACTTGGAATTTTGACATGTAGTAAACCAGCGCCCCTGTCCTATTTGGGCCAATGTATTTTACCCCCATCAAACCATATATTTTTGAAAAGTAGACAACTCAGGGTATTTTAAATGGTGGTAGTTTAATACTTTTCATGCAATAATTCTACCACCAGCCTTTGGCAAACTTTTGGGTAGTAATTTTCTTCATGTTTTTTTACACATACATTGTACTTTAGGCATGAATTAACAGATCCTGTTATGTATCACTGCCAAACAACACCCCAATATGTGTTCAGCAACATCTCCTGAGTACAGTGACATCACCCATGCATAGGTTTGCTGGGTTGTTTGGGGGCTAAAAGGCCACATTCAAGACTTGTACATATCAGTTTTTCAACTTGATATATAGGTATGCTTGGCCTATCTTCAGTTTGGCATATTTTTGCATCCCCCCGTTAATGTTAACATCATGAAAGTTTATATTTTTATAAAGTAGACATTCCAGAGTATTGTATATGAGGTGTTTTCACATCCTTCCCCCAACCATTGTGCTAAACAAATTTCAGAGAACGTGCATGGTGGTAATTTTTTAATTCTGCTTTTTATGCACACGTCATCTGGTTTTGGCCAGCCAGTTATATGTTACTACCATAAAACTTTTTTAACCAAATGTGCAGGTATCAAATGCACCTTTAGCAGCATTCTCTAAACTAACTCCTGCAAAAAGAATCTAATTGGAGATTTGGGGGGAAGGAAACTGACTAACTAAAATTTGCTGTTTTCAAAAGAAAAAAAAACAGTGCAAAGGGGTGTCTGTCCTTTTCCTTTTTTATAACAGACCCAGCAACATTTCAGGGGATTTGTTTTTTTTTTGCAGTTGGCGGTATCTTAAAAATAAAATGTCTGGACTCCTTTGGCACCGTTGTTGGAACTTGACCATCTCCATAAATTATTGTGGAAATCAGCTTGAACTAAAATTGGAGAAAGGTGGTTCTTTCTGAATTCATTTTTTTTTAAAGAGTAAAAATTAATTATGTGTTGCTACTTGCATCAGGTAGATAGCCACCTTTTTATACCAGGCTTTTGTCTTTCTTAAGATAAGATATGGCTGCATCAGCTGATCAGCCAAATCAACACCCCCCATGTGCCTGTTATAAGCCCTGATGCACACCGGTTTTGTCTGTACCCTGCCTCGGACAGTGACGTCTGACATGCCCTCGTTATGGATGGTTGTTAGCATGTGAACATCCTTCCTGTCCTTAAATTTTATTGCAAGCACTTTAGCTTTGTGCAGACCTTTACATTCACTTTTTTTTTTTTTTTTGGCCTCTATAAAAGGTCTGGGGAAATCCTTGGCATATCTTCTCACACTGCCACAGGCCAGTATCTAGAAACCCTAAAGAGTTTGAAACAAACGGACAATGCTATAAAAATTGTCCACATAAAGGTGGTAACCCTTATTGAACAAGGGGATCAGTAAGTCAAAAACAAGTTTCCCGCTTGTCCCCAGAGAGTCAGTACAGCCAGGAGGGTCCAGTTGACCATCTTTCCCCTCATATATACGAAAGGCAAATGTATAGCCACTTTCGCTCTCGCACAGTTTGTAGAATTTTACGCCATACCTAAAGCGCTTTGAGAGGATGTATTGTTTGAATCCTAATCTCCCTTTATATTTCATTAACGATTCATCAATAGATACATTTTTTTGAGGAGTATAAACTTCAGTAAATTTGTGCTGAAGATGGTCTACCAGTGGGTGTATTTTATGAAGCCTATCATATTGGGTGTGATCTCTGCGGTGACAGAGGGTATTGTCATTGAAATGTAAGTATCTCAGCAGCAGCTCAAATCTTGTTCTAGACATGGTTTGAGAGTACACTCGACTAGAACAGATTGGGTTGGTGCTCCAGTAAGAGCAAATTGATGGCTTCTTTATAATCCCCATGAGAATTGTAAGAGCCCAGAATTTTTTAAGTTCAGCGACATCTGTGGGATGCCAAGCACACTCCTCCCTGACTGCATAGCTATCTGGATTGGTATCAATAAATTGGGTAGCATATAAATTAGTCTGGGGAGCAATCTCCTCCCACATGGTATCCCCTAAAAATAGCTCCATATATTGCATAGAGGAGAAGTCATCCACATTGACATTAATGCCTGTGTTGGCACTAAAAGGGGTGATTTGGGGCTCAGCTAACTGTGGAGAAACCTGTTCCTCCTCCACATTCGGCGTAGCAGAGAAAGCACAGCTTCTTTTTGCAGCCAGCTCACACACAGATGACATGTCAGAAAACTGACCTGGGTCAAAATCGGACGCAGTGTCAGTGGCGTCAGAGTCTGGCTAACACAGAGTTACTAACACACAATTTTTTTTTATTTTATACTAAAAACAGACTAAAACTGATAAAAACAGACTAAATGAGACTAAAACTTCTGTTAGCAGCAATCTGTAAACTAACTCCTGCAAAAAGAATCTAACTGGAGATTTGGGGGAAGGATACTGACTAACAGAAATTTGCTGCTTTCAAAATAAACAAAAAAAATAAATCAGGAACAAGTATTATAAAAATGTATTTTCTGTGTGGTAGACCTTAAAACATTCTCCAATACACAGTCCAGGTTTTGTATGGCAATCGGGACAGTGAAAAGGGGTGTCTGTCCTTTTCCCTTTTTTATAACAGACCCGGCAACGTTTCTGGGGGTTTCTTTTTTTTGGTGTTGGCGGTATCTTAAAAATAAAATGTCTAGACGACTCTTGCACTGTCGTTGGAACTTGACCATCTCCATAAATTATTGTGGAAATCAGCTTGAGCTGAAATTGGAGATAGGTGGTTCTTCCTGGATTAATTTTTTTAAAAAGTAAAAATGAATTATGTGTTGCTACTTGCAACAGGTAGATAGCCACCTTTTTATACCAGGCTTTTGTCTTTCTTAAGATAAGATAAGGCTGCATCAGCTGATCAGCCAAATCAACACCCCCCATGTGCCTGTTATAAGCCCTGATGCACACCGGTTTTGTCTGTACCCTGCCTCGGACAGTGATGTCTGACATGCCCTCGTTATGGATGGTTGTTATCATGTGAACATCCTTCCTGTCCTTAAATTTTAGCGCAAGCAGTTCAGCCTTGCGCAGAGCTTTGCATTCCCCTTTTTTTAATTTGGCCTCTATGAGAGGTCTGGGAAAATCCTTGGCATTTCTTCTTACAGTGCCGCAGGCCAGTGTCTGTAAACTATAAAGAATTACCAGATTTTACTAATTTCATGACGTAAAGTCATGATTTTATTAAGGACACGGAGGCGAGTATTATGCTATTCTCTTTCTTTTATTCCTCAGCAGCAAGAAAAACTTTATTTTAGAGAAACAATCAACCATGTAAACATGCCCCAAAGGGCTAGTCCTACAATAATACAACCAATCAGCATGCCTTCAGCACTCTCAACTCCCCATGTGACCTTAAGCCACTCCTCTTTCTTGGTGTTGTCGACAAAAAATCCATAGTAAACACATCAACATGAAGGAAAAAAAGCAAAAAGTCCAGGACCGCCACAGTGAAAAATCCAGTATTCTCTATAAGCTGTGATCTTCCTGTAGGTCCTGAAGGAAATCCATGCACAACGGTGCCAAACCGGATCATGAAGCTGAAAGGAACAGAGAAACAAACTGGTAAAATATGTTTCTGGACTTTTGAACAGAATTAGACATCGAAATATATGCCACCAAAACCCAGATTATCCTCTAACCAAAACCTGTCAATACCTGCATTATGTTGTAGTAATCTGAACTCGTAACAAACTTATTGACCACTTAGCTATGGGAGGGCACCACTTACCTGCATCGGGTGGGATAATACTCGCCTCCGTGTCCTTAATAAAATCATGACTTTACGTCATGAAATTAGTAAAATCTGGTAATTTTATTTAAGAACACGGAGGCTCATATTATGCTAGTTCAAAGCTGTGACACGACCACCTCTGAAAAATGAGAAACTGGCCGAAAATAAAACTCCTTGAAGGTAGATTCGCGGGACCAATCAGCCGCCCGGAGTAGGTCCTCCAACCTGCAGCCTTTGGAGAATGCTTTAGTCGCCATGGCTCCCCTGACCGAGTGTGCTCCATACACAGAAGTGTCGATGCCTGCTAATTTCATAACCCACTTGACCCAACGAGACAAGGTGACTGTTGAAACAGGATGATACGGATGACGAAGGGCCAGGAATAACTCAGGATATGCAGGATCACGAATCGAAGAAGTCCTGGACTCGTACTCCTTGAGACATGCTACTGGGCAGAGCTTGGAGTTATTTGGAAAGGCCGGGTAGAAAACTGAGGTGATTGACGTCTTCGTACGCCTGGAAATATTAAACGAGACACCTTCGGGGGTGAATGAACGTGCAGAGAAGTCCAACGCACGCACATCTGACACCCGCTTACAGGAGATCAAAGAAAACAGCATCGCCAGCTTTGCTGTGAGTTGTTTCAGTGAGAGATCTTCGTTCCTTGGCCAATCTGCTAGAAACTGGAGGACAAGGTCAACATCCCATGATGAAGAGTATCTAGGTAGTGGTGGGCGTGCAAATCTAATGCCGCGCAGGAGTCGGCATACGAGGAGATGTTTACCAGCCGGGGCACCATCCCACCCTTGGTGGCCTGCGGAAATAGCCGATCGGTACACATTTATCGTGCGATAGGCTAGGCCATGGTCAAACAGAGAAGTGAGAAATCTCAAAACTTGACTTATAGGTGCCGATAAGGGATCCATGTGTTGTTCCATGCACCAACCACTCCATGAATTCCAGGCATGTAAGTAGGATTTCCGTGTTCCAGGAGCCCAAGCTCCCGCCAGAAGGTCAATAGTTGTTTGTGGAACGTCCGGGATGAATCCAAGTCCCCGGAGAGGAGCCATGCCAGTAGTTGGAGGTGTCCTTGTAATAGTAGGGGGTGCGGTTCCCCGTTGGGGTCCAACAAGAGGTCCGGAGAGGTTGGACTCAATCTTGGGTAGTCCATGGACAACTCCATGAATGTAGGGAACCACGGTTGAGCCGTCCAGAATGGGGCGATGAGAATCATGGAGGTTCGGTAGCGCCTGAGATGTAGAAGCGTCCTCGCAATCAATGAGAAAGGAGGAAAAGCGTACGCTTGTGTGTTCGGCCACTGATGGAGGAAGGCATCTGAAGCCAATGCCTCTGGATCCGGTCTCCAACTGAAGAAACTCGGTAGTTGGGAGTTCAACCGTGAAGCGAAGAGGTCGATCCCTAGTGGGCCCCAGAGTGTTTGAAGTTGCAGGAAAATGGCCCGCTTCAGCCGCCAGTCGCTTGCATCCCGTAGGTATCTGGAATTCCAATCCGCCACCATATTGGACATCCCGGGAATGTGTTCCGCCTGAACCGAAATATTGCGATCTAGGCAGAAGTGCCAGAAGTCTTTTGCTAGATCCGCTAACACCACTGACTTCGTACCCCCGAGATGATTGATGTAGCAGACCGCTGACACGTTGTCCATCCGTAAAAGAATGGAACAGTTGGTTGAGATACCTACGAGACTCCGAACTGCAAATGACCCCGCCAAAAGCTCGAGGCAATTGATGTGTAACTCTTGTTCGTCTGGGGACCATTTCCCTCCGGTGGAGATAGGACCACAACGCGCGCCCCAGCCCAGCAGACTTGCGTCCGATTCCGCGACGAAGTCCGGCCTCGTCCCAAAGATTGCTCTTCCGTTCCATGCTTCCATGTGTTGCAGCCACCAATAGAGTTCTTCTTTGGCAGCACAATCGAGAGGCACAGAGTCTGAATAGGAGAGACCTGACCGAAGGTATTTCGCCTTTAGGCGTTGAAGGGCCCTGTAGTGAAGTGGGCCCGGGAAAATGGCCTGGATGGAGGCTGAGAGAAGGCCGATGATCCTGGCCAGTTGCCGTAGCGTTAGTGCAGGGCGAGCCAGTGTCCGGCGGATTTCTTTCTTGATGATCCTGACTTTGGACGATGGTAACAGGAGTGTCCCTTCCACTGAATCGATGGTGAAGCCTAGAAACTCCAAGACTTGGGAGGGTTGTACCACCGACTTGCCCCAGTTGATGAGGAAACCAAGGTTGCCGAGTAATGTCTTTGTCCAAATCAGATGTTCTTGGAGTAAGAGTGGGTCTTGTGCCATCAGCAGCATGTCGTCCAAGTATATAATCAGACGTACTCCTCTGCTGCGTAGGAGAGCGATCACTGGCCGCATGAGCTTCGTGAAGCACCATGGGGCCGAGGAGAGGCCGAAGGGCAAGCATTTGAAACGCCATGTGGTCTCCTCCCATTGGAACTGGAGGAAATGTTGGCAATCCTCGGCCATTGGGACGGTGAGGTATGCGTCCTGCAGATCGAGTTTGACCATCCAATCCTCCAAGAGGAGTAGGTCTCGGAGGGAGTGGATGCCCTCCATTTTGAAATGGTGGTACGCAACAAAGGCGTTCAGGGGACGTAAGTTGATGACCGGACGGACACCCCCGCCTTTCTTGGGCACCACGAACAGGTTGCTTATAAAACCTGAAACCCCTGGATGCGTCTCTATGATTGCACCTTTGTCGGCCAGGGATTGTATCTCTGTTGTGATTAGTGCCCTGTCGTGGATGGAGGAGACTATGTGTCTGGGGGGGGATATCTGGACAGGTGTTTGTACAAATTCTATGGCATAACCCACTACAGTTTGTAGGACCCAAGTATCGGAAGTTAACATTCGCCAGGCATCGATAAAGTGGCCTAACCTGCCCCCCACCAACGTTGCTGAAGTTAGTGATGAAGGAAGTAGACTCACCATAAGGGCGTCGGCCATAGGAAACGCTTCTGGATCCACGAGCCTGCCAGGGTCTTCCTCGAACTGGGAAGAATGGAGAGGGCTTCGGTACCTCACTCTGGTAACGTGACTGGAAGGGGCCTCTAGAAACCCGGTACGAGCCCCGGGAAGAACGGCCGGGCAGACGGCCCCGATATCTGCCGGCCCCGCCAAAAACTCTATGGGAGAATACCTTTTTCATATTGGCTTGCGCCTTGTCCAGAGCAGTAAAAGTGCCCACATAGGTACCCAGCTCCTTCACAAAACTATCCCCAAAAAGAAGGCCTTTGGCCTGTGGCCCAGGTTCAGTGATAGCCAAGGCAACTAGCTTTGGTTCGATTTTAATCAATATAGCCTTTCGCCTCTCAGTGGCTAGAGCCACGTTGGCATTTCCAAGAAGACATATGGCTCGCTGTATCCAGCCCCTGATAGCTAGCGGGTCTATGGGAGCACCGCCTGCCAGTGCCGTTTCAACCATATCAAAGATCTTTGCACTGGGTCCGAGGACATCCAGGATCTTATCCTGGCAATGGCGAAGTGCAAAATCGAGACCCTTCTTCGCCTTCCACCCAGTTTTTCCCAGGAACTGGGCAATCTTAGGGTCCACTATAGGGGCGATACATATTAAATCTGGGAGCGTGGGGCGTGGGCATTCTGCCCGCATCTTACTTCTTGCCACCTTATCAAGGGGTTTCCTGATCCGTGCGGCAATATATTTTGCCACATGGTCCAGCGGGAACCATTCAGTAGATCTTGGGTGCTGCAGACTATCAGGGTCAAACAAAGGTTCGCCCTGTGGGTCAAGGAGGGTGAAGCCTTCCACCCCGTCCTCGTCCTCATTCCCAGACATAGATATAGCGCTGTGGTCGGGGAATAGTGTGCCCAAATTGAATGAGTCCTCATCATCAGACTCGCTCCATGCCTCCTCCTGTTCCGAATCTGACTCGGATGATTCCACTTGGGCTTTTGCCCTTTTCCAACTCCGCACCGATTTTGCCCGGTGGGTGGCTCTTTGTTGTGGTGCAACCACATTATCTTTGACAGGACGTTCCCTGTCTGTCCTTAAAGTTTTGGAGGCTTCCTCGTCCATGTGACGAGCTTTTTTGGTGGCTTTGCGCCCACTGGCCTTGCCTGTAATGTGTTCTGTAGGGTTAGGGGCAATGTGCGTAGAGGCCTGTTGGGCGGCCAAGAGGGCATGGCTAATAGAGTGGGACAGAGTGTCCGACATAACTCCCATGGCTGAGTAAACAGCTTGGGTAACGGATTTTGTCATAGTGGAGTGACTTCCCTGATTTTTTGCAAAAAACTGGGTATTAGCAATGTATCAGTAGGACTGATACAGAAATACCCAAGGCACCGTAAATTAACAGACAGAATATGAAAAAGGCAAGCTCACCAAGTGTTCCCTCAGGAATGGCTCCTGGGGACACTGGTGAGCTGCCCAGCAACTGTGCTGTCCAATCAGCACACACTCCCGCCCCCACAGGCACTAAAAAGCCCGGGAACGAAAAACCGCGGCAAACTGCCAACCGCAAGATGGCCGCCGCGATGCGCACTAGCGTTGTGCGCATGCGCGAAACGGCGCCAGCCGCGGTTACAGCCGCGAACCGGAGGGGGGGGGAGGGAGGCCCCCGAGACAGATCTCAGAGGCACGGAAAAAAAAACAGACTGGGCGGCAAGAGTCTCCACACGGAGAGCTGCTAGCCGCCCTGACTCAGTAGGTGATAATCCACCTGAAGTGAGTCAGAGATGGGAGGGGAGGGAGGGGTTGGCTCTAGGTGAGGGAAAAAACCTAGAGCCAGTTGGGAAATTAAGTGGAGAGATAGGGCAGAAGCCCAACAGTACACAGAAAACAAACAAATTTAAATGAAACTGCCACAAAATGAATAAATATGAGAAAACACAGGCAGCATACAGAGAGAAAAATAAAAATGTACTTAGGAAGGCAGCAGCAAGAAAGAGGAGTGGCTTAAGGTCACATGGGGAGTTGAGAGTGCTGAAGGCATGCTGATTGGTTGTATTATTGTAGGACTAGCCCTTTGGGGCATGTTTACATGGTTGATTGTTTCTCTAAAATAAAGTTTTTCTTGCTGCTGAGGAATAAAAGAAAGAGAATAGCATAATATGAGCCTCCGTGTCCTTAAATAAAATTTTAAACAAGTGGACACTGCTGTAAAAATTGTCCACATAAAGGTGGTAACCCTTATTGAACAAAGGGTTCAGTAGGTCCCAAACAAGTTTCCCAGTTGTCCCCAGAGAGTCAGGACAGCCAGGAGGGTTCAGTTGAGCATCTTTCCCCTCGTATATACGGAAGGCAAATGTGTAGCCACTTTCGCTCTCGCAAAGTTTGTACACTTTAATGCCATACCTAGACCGCTTTGAGGGGATATATTGTTTGAACCCTAATCTCCCTTTGTATTTCATAAGGGATTCATCGATGGATAAAGTTTGTTGGGGTGTATAAACTTCAGAAAATCTGTTCTGAAGATGGTCTACCAGTGGGCGTATTTTATAAAGCCTATCATATTCGGGTGATCTCTGGGGTGACAGAGCGTATTGTCGTTAAAATGTAAGTATCTGAGCAGCAGCTCATATCTTGGTCTAGGCATTGTTTGGGAGAATATAGGAGTCGAACAAATTGGGTTGGTGCTCCAGTAAGACCGGATTGATGGCTTTTTTATTATCCCCATGAGCATGGTAAGAGCCCAGAATGTTTCAAGTTCAGGGACATCTGTGGGATGCCAAGCATGCTCCCTGACTGTATAGCTACCTGGATTGGTCTCAATAAATTGGCTAGCGTATAAATTAGTCTGGGAAGCAATCTCCTCCTAGATGGTATCCCCTAAAAATAACTCCATATATTGTATAGGGGAGAAGTCATCCACATTCACATTAATGCCTGCGTTGGCACTAAAAGGGGGGATGTTGGGCTCAGCTAACTGTGGAGGTACCCAGTCCTCCTCCACATTCAGCGTAGCAGGGGAAGCACAGCTTCTTTTAGCAGCTGGCTCACTCACAGAAGACATGTCACTAGACGTGCCGCTAAACTGACCTGGGTCAAAATCGGACGCAGTGTCAGTGGCGTCAGAGTCTGACGCCAAGAAGGCATATGCCTCCTCCAAGCTGTACATGCGCTGCATGTTTCACACCAACAGACTAAACTAACAAAATACTAAACACAATATTTTTTTATTTTTTTTTAAAACACTAAAACAGACTAAAACAGACTAAAACAGACTAAAACAGTAATCCCTAAACTAACTCCTGTTAGAAGAATCTAATGGAGATTTGGGGGAAGGAAACTGACTGACTACGACAGGCTATGACAGACTATGACAGACTACGACAGACTACGACAGACTAAAACAGACTAAAACAGACTACGACAGTCTAAGACAGTCTAAGACAGTCTAAGACAGTCTAAGACAGTCTAAGACACAGATTTTTTAAAATAAAGTTAACCCTTAAGGGCAAAAAAAAAAAATACAGAAAGTAAAAATGCACTGTCTGTAACAGATCTGGCAGGGAAGGTGTTAAAATAGGATTTTTATTAACTGAAGATACTTTTTAATTTTCACAGGAACAGCTGCTGCAACAAACTATCAGGATCTCTGTCTCTCTCCTCTCACAAAACGCTACAGAGAGGAGAGAGGCAGAGATCAGTGTCAAAGTGAGTGTTTGTAACATCCACTTTGACACCAGCCAATTGTGAGCGATCGCGGATCGCTCACACGCTGTAATTGGCTGTTACTATCTGCCTGGGATGCCGGGCAGATAGTAACAACGGGATTTCAGCGGAAGCGATCTCTGATCGCTCTCGCCGCCCGTTTTCCGTTAGGACGGTTCAGGACCGTCCTCGGTCGGCAACGAAAAAATGCCGAGGACGGTCCTGAACCGTCATGCGTCCTTAAGGGGTTAATGTATCTCTCAATGTTTGTATTTATATATATGTGCTGTTTACAAGTCTCTTGGAGATGCCCATTCATATAATGGAAGCTTCTGCTTCAACTGGGCAAATAACCTGTAATGAGCACAGCCGAAAAAATGAGCGCCGGAAGTGACGTCAGACGCCGGCAAGCCGAACTTCCGCCCATCTGATCGGCAGTCACACAAGTGGCAGATTTAAAAGGAATTGCAGCCAGATGAACTCTTTATGCACTGAAGAAAACTCGGACTGAGTTGAAACGC